GTGTGTGTGAGAGAGTGTGTGAGTGTGTGAGAGAGTGTGTGTGAGAGTGTGTAAGTGTGTGTGAGAGAGAGAGTGTGTCTGTGTGCGTGTCTGTGAGAGTGTGTGTGAGAGAGTGTGTGTGTGTGTGTGAGAGAGTGTGTGTCAGTGTGTGTGAGAGAGTGTGTGAGTGTGTGTGTCTGTGAGTGTGTGTGTGTCTGTGTGTGAGAGTGTGTGTGAGTGTGTGTCTGTGTCTGTGAGAGTGTGTGTGTGTCTGTGTGTGAGAGAGTGTGTGTGTGTGTGTGTGAGTGTGTGTCTGTGTGTGTGTCTGTGAGAGTGTGAGTGTGTGTCTGTGTGTGTGTGTCTGTGTGTGTGTGAGAGAGAGATTCTGTGTGTGTGTGTGTGTGAGAGAGAGTGTGTGTGTGTGTGTGTGTGTGTGTGAGTGTGAGTGTGTGTGTGTGTGTGTGTGAGAGAGAGATTCTGTGTGTGTGTGTGTGAGTGAGTGTTAAAGCTGCTGTGGAATAGTGTGTGTTGGAAGGCACAATAGAAATCGAGCTGAATTAGTTTCCTGCATGAGCTGTGTGTGAGCAGCAGGTGGCGCTGCAGTCCAGTGAGTGCAGTCTCGGCAGCAGATTCTTACACTGACAACAAAATATAATCAACAAAATGACACAAATACTGTTTTCAACAAGAAACAACAAATCAGAATGGGATCAAATCCAAGACTGACAAAAACTAAAGAAACAAATATAAAAAGGAATAATTTATTTATAAATAAATCATTATTAAATAATAAATAAGATGACATTAATTTATACGCTTATTCATCATTATGTGACGTCACACTCTATCCAGTCACATGACCTCCCCAGAGCTCCTCCCCCAATCAGAACATCTGAACCCTCTATAAGTCCCGCCCCTTCCTCTGGTCATTTAATGGACCTGAGAGCAGTGCTCATTCCCAGCATGCAGTGCGTCTGTGCAGGAAGCGAGTTTGACACATCATTAGGCTCTCCGCAGCCGCCCACTGCCGCAAATGAGCCCGTCTTTCCTGTTGATCTGAGATAAGACACTCGCTGTAAACATCTGAACACGCCAGCACACAAGCATCAGGCCTCGGATCGTTCACTGTAACTGTGATCCATCACCTGAACCAGCAAGGGTTAATGCGCTGGAGCTGCTGCTGATGTCTCCAGATTAGAGTTTGTGTTTAATAGTGAATACAGGGACCAGCTCAGATCTGATGTCACTCTGTCAGATCCAGTGACGGTCATCTGAGACGTCATGGAGCCTGTGATTGGTCAGACACCGGTTGACCTTTGACCTCACGGTAACTCTGGTTCTTTCCTGCAGTGTCTCTGACTGGTGCTTTCTGTCCCGCAGGCCGAGCGTGAGAGCAGACGCTTACATGCACGACCTCGCGGCCGCCGTACTGACCGATCACTGACCGATCAGGACACGACACTCGTGATTGATGACGCACTGACTGTGAAGCTGCACTGACACATGAAGAAAACTGTGAACATGTGCAATGCATTATAAAGGTATTCATAATGTACAGGATAATGCATTGTATCTTTGCATAAATAAATGTAGCCAAACTTAAAATGCATTATATTCATGTGTTTTAATGCATTGCTCTTCCTAAAGGTGTAGCAATGACTAGATGAGTATTATAACTGTGGTTACTATTATGAGATCACACAATGCATTACAAGGCAGAAATAGTGCATTAAAACTACTTTATAATGCATTATATATAAAGGCTTTAGATTAAGTGTTACCAATAGTCTTTTTGTGTATTTCTATGAATGCTAATCCTCCTAATATTCACACTATGGTTGTTTTATGATCAATAATCGTGAACTTGCTGATAAATAAATGTGCCTTAACTGTGGCACTGCAAACTAATCTTCTTTGTATCTCGTTATCTTAACGCAGAATATCTCGTGATGTTTGCTGGCGCTCCGGTGAATCTGCTTCATGCGGTTTGGTGTCGGAGCTTCGTTCAGGACAATAGCGTGATGCTGGCAGACATGAAGCGCTGCAGAACAAACAGCATCACGGAGATCTGGAGCAGAGGTCGAGGCACACAGACGTCTTTGTGTTTCTTACAGCGGCGCTCGTTTCACATCACGCTCCAGTCTCACTGTGCTCTTCCAGTCGAGGTGTAATAAAGCTCTGATGCTGATGTAAAGCAGACGCTTCTATTCTAACGCAGCAGATTCTCCAGGCTCGTTTACGATCATATCTGCTCATCTAAACATTAAGGCCACTTTTAACCCTCGCACATAAAGCTACAGTGAAATAAGCTGCTGTTAGACTCATCCATGTTGTTATATTTCATTTGGCCTGATGGGTTCACACACACACTCTCTCTCTCACACACACACACACACACACTCCCTCTCACACACACACTCTCTCTCTCACACACACACTCTCTCTTTTTCACACACACACTCTCTCTCTCGCTCGCTCACACACACACACACTCTCTCGCTCACACACACACACACACTCT